CCCCCAAAACCCCAAAACCCCAAAACCCCACAAAGATCTATGAGATTGGATTATTAACAACTGACTAAAATCTCTCCGAATTCTTCAACATTATCTTGTCTGAGTTGAACCTTGCCTTGCCTCTTCAAGTGAAGAAGGTTCATGAATACATTGGCTTTATCCGCTTTATCAAATTTGAAGATAGTGAGTTCTTCACTTGGATTAGCTTGAGAATTCTTTTTGAATCTTATGAGAAGTTCGGAGAAAGGCAAACCTTGACTTTGTGTAGAATTATCTATTTTAGAAATCAGTTGGGATCTTTTCTTTGAGTCTTGTTGGATTATTTCATTGATTTCATTGTAAGAGCTGATGTATTGTCAATGGAAAGTTCCTTGTGTTGTAATGTAATCATTAATATCCTTAGCTCTGAAGTAATCATTACGCTGAAAGAGTTCTTCATTAGGAGTTCCAGAGTCATCATCAAGGTTGAAGTTTAGAATATCTTCACCCAAGTCATCAGGCTCATTGTTCAGAATTTGCTCTAACTCGTCATATCTTTGGTCTTCATGCTCATTTCTACCAAGAAAAGCATCATTTGCAGAATGGATATGCTTAGAGCTGTTCTGATTGTTCCTCATTAACAAATTACTTTCTGTATTGAAGTTGTTCCCAGAACTTCCTTGGACATTAGACCTCATCTTTCTAGAAGTTGTGGTGTTCAAGTACTCTCGGATTGTGCTACTGATTCAATCTGCAGGCAAAAGCACCGCAGCAGAGTTCTGCAGTTGAATAGGTAGGCTCTGCTTAGTGACTGGGTTTATCAAGTTATACTTATCCTTAATGGTCTTAGAGTTCTCCATCCAAGTATTAGTAGTTACAGACTTCAAGTTATTTTTGAAGAATTGAATCAAAATCATTAAGATCCTCGATTTCAGAACTTTTCAGTTTCATCTTGGATAATGGATCATTGACCATTTGATGAATATGGCTGTTCTTCAGGATCTTGGAATCTCCAACCATTGAAGGATCTGAGTTTTGAGACGAGTTTTCATTAGAATCAAACTGATTTCTTAAATCATGCTCGTGGCGAAAGCTCTGGAGTTGAGTACCTCTTGTAGGAGGAGTTCTCAGTAGGTTACTGATTTCAGGGTTTGTGATATCAAGATTACTAAAGAGCAAATCATTCTCCTCTCCAATCCCCTCGTTCCTCATCATCTCATGAAGATCAAGGTTTAGTTGGTTTCTAACATCTTGCAGTCTTTGGGTTACTGAAAAGGAGACTTGATCTCCAAAATCATTGTTGAAAAGATCCATTTCTGGGTTTGGATCAAGAGAAATGCTTGGGTTGTCCCTGTTGTTCATAGCAGAGCTCATATTCGAGTATCTTTTTCTTTGAGATTCTTGCACGCTCTGTGTTGGAGCTTCAGGATCATTCAGCATCAGAAAATGTCTTCTAGATAGTAGCTGAGTGATGCTTGCAATGAACTTTGATGCAGTCACCTTTGACCTTGGTTCGATTCTTTTTCTGGTAGTTGCCTTCTTCGATTTTGGAGCTACATCTTCTTGGCTCTTCATTGGACAAATCAGGGTGTCATGAATATCCTGAATTTCAGAATAACTCGAGTGTTGTTGATGTGAAAACACAAGTATAAGACCATTAAACAGTATCGATAGATCTCTTAGACTGATATACCTCACCTTAGGTAAGATATCTTCCTCAATGACTTTGACTAGATCTATTTTCAAGGACTTTCTGAGTGAGGAGGACTGTTTGATCTTGAGCTTCCCTCTGTCCATCTCTGTGCTCATATTCTCAGACCCTACTCTCATCACAATGTCTATGTGTCTTTCCATTTATTGATTAGTTTACTAAATATTACTCAATTTTGCCTCTAAAGATCGGGGTTTTGGGGTTTTGGGGTTTTGGGGTTTTGGGG